CATCTGAATGAATCTAAGTGTATGTATATAAGCTGCATATGTATAAGAGAGAGGGGCATAAGTGAGAAATTAGGACCTCCTTCCTGCTGACACTCTAGAGGGGCTCTTTGTCCTAGGTGAGGACGCATCAACTCAGCATGCCACCATGCCCTTCCAGACAGACCCTTATCCACCTAACCAGCCCCATTGCTTTCCATTCTTTGCTTTGTTAAAAAAGCAATAATGTACTGTTTCTCTAAATATATTATGATATTCCTCCCCAATACCTTTGTTTATATTCATCCCTGGCTGGGAATGTGCTTTCCTGACCCACTTTAGCTTGGCTATCTTCTCACCATCATTTCAAACTTGCACTCCACTATTATGTATTATTATAATGCTATAATGCCCTAATTTTTTTAATTTAAAAAAAGGCCAATGGAAAGAAATGGAATAAAGATGTCTGAGCCTTTAAGACTGTTAACTATGAGAACAAGGTCCAAAGTCATCAAGTCACTTATAAGGTAAAGGGACAAGTCTATTATTTTCAGCTAGTTCAATTCAGTGATATAAGTATCAAATCTAAAATTTCTTTGAATATAACATAAATAACCTTGTATAATCATTGGAGGAATAAAAAAGGAACAAGAGATAATCCAAATTTAGGCTGCATAAGTTCTGGGTATCCAACAAGGCATGTGAAAGGTACTGAGTAGGTACAAAGAATCTAGAGTTCTCCATTGTCATGTGACATCTAGTAACAACTTAACTTTAGGCTTCCTGATCAACCAGGTTAGTATTTACCTTTCTTTTAGACTTGGTAATACACTATCCAATTTGTTATGCAGGTAATGAATGACAATAAATCTTTGTCTCTTATAAAGGATAACTTTTTCATTGCTAGGATCATGCCTTGGATTTCAGAGCAAGCCGAGTTCATTTAAACAGTGCAGAAACAAAACAAAACAAAACAAAAAACTGGCAGTAATTTGAACACCACTAATTTAAGTCAGGTGAGTGCAGGGTTTAATGTATATAGGAAGAAAGTAAGCCTTAGGAACACAAAGCTGAGGACACAGAATGAGGCAAATTCCCAACATTCAACTGATCCCTACCAAATAAAGATGAATTTGAATTTTCTGTGGTAATGAGTGAGAGCTATTTTGCAGAAATTAAATGTAAGGTTTAGATATCTCATTAATGTCACTAGTTACTCAAACTTAGGAGAGACACTATTAGAAAAAATCAGAGTCAAATCTAGCTTTTGCTCAGGGCTTTAGCCTTATCTTTGTAGTATAAACCAATGGGAGAGACCATATGACACCTGGGATTAAGAAAATGGATTTTTAACATTCTAAATTTATGATAAAGCAGTGCTTGTGATAATCAAGGCAGTCTGAAAAAAAAGGTAGTATTTAGAAAAGTGAGCAGGAAAAAAATCCATGAAAGGCTTTTCTCTATGAAATTAGGTTTAAAAGAATTTTCATCCAAAGTACATCATGCACGTGTGTTAAAATTGAAATAGATCAGCTTCATTTCAATTCATTTATTCATTAATTTATTTAACAAATATTTACTGAATGCTATGTACAACAATTGGGAGAAAAGGAATTCTAATGACAGAGATAGAATACTCCTGAGACCCTTCTAAAATAGTCATCTTCTGTTTTCCTAGGAGACTGTGGGGAGGTTTCATGAATAAGCAAAATTAACAGACTCTGATAACATATCTAGTCAAGAATGGAGGTCTCCACACCTCTCTTTCCTTTGCCAACTGTTATTTGGAGATAAGTAATAACTGCAGAATAAAGGAGGGAAAATACCCAAAGATATAGTAAGTACATGTCAAAAACAATTAGGACAATTCAGGTTTAAATATCCTTTCCCATTTTCTATAAAAGTAGGCTCCCGTCTGTCATTTATAAAGCCTAATTCTGGCTTGGGAAATAGCCAGCTTGGCAGGCACAGAGAAAGGGCATCTAATGACTTCCTGGGTTTTCTCAGGGGGAGCACAGGAAATGGCAAATTAAAGGCTTCTTAAGCAATAATGAACTCAAAGATCATGCAAGCAAAGCTATGGCTCTGAAGGTCCTTGAGTAGAATTATAAGAAGACAGGATAGAAAGGAAGGAAAGAAGAAAGAGGAAGGAAGGAAGGAAGGAAGGAAGGAAGGAAGGAAGGAAGGAAGGAAAAAAGGAAGGAAAAAAGGAAGGAAAAAAGGAAGGAAATCAGGTTGTTTTCAGGAGGGGAGGTCTATAGAGACATTTCTCTGGGACTTGGGAGGAGATATGAATGTGACTAAGTGTTGGGAGAAAGCAAGACACTCATTCTGACCTTTTCCTGAAGATCAAGATAACTTACAGAAAGACCTGCATCAACACAAGATTCCTCATTTTGGAGTTCTAAGTAGCCCTGGTATAATGTTCTCCTTTCTTTCAGAGAACAAATCATCCCATTCTTAGAGAATGATCTTGGATATCCTTCAGAGTAGAGTGGCTGTCACTGTACCACAAGTAGATGAACTGGTTTTTTTTCAGGGACATTGGTTCCTTATAAATATTTCCTCAAGTTAAGGTACATTCTGGGGAATAAGCCATGATTCTATGTAAATACCATTTACACAGAATTACTCCTCTTTGTTCTCTGATCCAAGGTAGAGTTGGCTATTTTTAGTCAGAAAAGTCTCGATTTGAATTTAGTTCTACCATGGGCTCACTGTGAAATCTGGGGCTACCTATTGGAACCTCTCTGAGTCTGCATTTTCCTCATTTATAGAAAGGAGAAAAGCTCTTTCTTATAGAGCTTTTAGGAAGATTAAATGATTTAAAATATATTAAAGTGATCTGGAAATGAAGGGTTGGGATGTAGCTCAGTGGTAAAGAGTGTGTTTAGTGTTCATGAGGTCCTGGGTTCAATCCCAAGCACACAAAAAAAAAGCTTTCTGAAAATCATATAATGATATATAAATGATAGTTATCAGTATTCTTTTTCTTTACTAACACTCTTTGACCTGGTTGCCATGGTATGGGGGGAAAGTGTGCTAATGACGTACAAGACAGAGCTCTTGACCAATGAACTAAACAGATCTATTAAACAAGGGCAATAATCACATACTATAAAAATGTACTGACTCCTCAATAACATCAAATCCTCTTTACAAATTTTTCTATTTGATTTTGACCGCTATAATTATTAAAGATTTAACATGAATGAGTACTAATGATTATTCTCAATAAAGTGGAGGAAAATGCTTTATCTATCATGGTCTTTATTCCTGAACAATTTTACAAATAAGACCCAGAATACAGTTATCATTAAAACAAAAAATAATGTATAATATTACCTCCAGGGTGGTACTCATATGATATCCTTGCTGTATTTTTAGGTTTCCACCAAATATTTTCTGAGTACCCACTAAGTATTCATATTGTGCTGGGTACTTACTACAAAGGACATGAAGAGGATCAGGGCACAGTCCTTGCCCTAAAAGCACTCAAGTACCTCATTACAGGGAGGCCCTGATGGTAACTGATAAAAAGGCAAACTGTCAAGGATTTCTCTAAGAAAAGTCCAAAGTGTTCTGGTAATATGAGCAAAAGATAGATTGCATCTACTGCAGAGCCCTAGGAGGGTTCTATGAGGAAAGTTATTGTGAGCAAAGGTGGGACTCCTTTGTTAGAAAGGGCAGTGGAAGGTTGGGGGATAGCAGGTAGACTGAGAAACAAGCTTGAAAGTGGATGAGAGCAGGATGTAGTCAGAAATAATAGCTACCACAGCATAGCCAGAATGCAGGGAGTACAAAAGAAGATGAAGTTGAAAAAGCAGGTCATGAGAAAATTGTGGAAGCTATGAATGCCCAGCCAAGAAGCTGGACTTTCTTGATTTTTTTTTCCTCCCAAGATGTAGTCATTTAATAAAGGAAGAATGTCATGATGGGTCTTGATTCTGGAAAAATGTACAAGTAGTTGATATGGAGGAGTTATTGCAGGGGTGGGAAAGAAACTAAAAGGAAGCAAACCAGATAAGGAGCTATGGCCATAGGTCATAACATATTAAGAGATAGAAGGCAGGGAGTGGCAGGAGAAAGGACTGGATGAATGGCAGTTTGCTTTTTCATCTTGAGGTGACATCCTCCCTGAGGGCAGTGGTTCTCAGACATACTGTGTTGCCTTGATTAAGAGGTCTTGGTGCCTTGGGCTAATCCAAAGAGATGAAAGTACTTAAGTGCAACAAATTTGAGCAATTTCTCCTTTAAAGACTTGCCTGGTGGCATTTGCCTGAAGAAGGCACACTGTGAGTTAGAAATGATTATGTGTAAAGGCTTTGTTAACCAGAGGACCTAGGATATAATAAATGTAATACACCAAAGTAAAATAAAATGATTTGCATTATCCTAACACCACATAGTACTCCAGGTTTTTACAACTTTTTCCTCTCTGCAGTCATTGTGAATTTTCTTTTGCCCTTTTCCTCTTCTACAATTTCTGCTATTTTTATATGAACATTTTTTACAGGTGATGGCTGAGAACTGAAATTACCTCTGTAATCGGCTATCATGGTGAACGCAAGTAATGACTTCTGCATTTGATGATGAATAATAAGATGAAATAATCTATTCCCAAATATGACCAAGCCAATGAACCTACTTTCTTAAATGTTTTGAGATAATATGGCCAAACACATGTAAAGATTATATAGTCATAAAATTACATGACCTATTTTTTTTCTTAAATTCTATTCTAAAATATAAAATCAAAGCCACCGAAATACATGCAAAAACCAAGTACCCCATCAGCATTAATCCCTTCACACCTAAAATGAGTTCTTAATCATACTATTGCATTCATTTTCTTCTTTCAGATTAAAAAAAAAAAGACAGAGAATCTGCAAATGGAGCTAAACAGATTATTTTAGCAAACAATTAGACACAGAATAACTCTAAGTGAAGATTCCTGGAGCTTGTCTGTGTGTGCAAGTTTATGCACTCTGCTTACCAATGACAAAGCTAGAAAGAAAACTCACCTGTTTTCTTCCTCAAGATCTGCTAGGATTCTCTCTAGCTCCCCTCTTTCCTCACTCTCTAAGGAAATCAAGATCTGGGCAGGACTACGAGGCTGGCTCAGGGGGGAGTCCTGGTTCAAACTTTGGCAGTAATGCTGGATTAACAAATGTTCATCATCTCTGGAAAATAAAATCAAAGGTTTTGGTTTTTTCCCCCCCTTATTTTGCTTTGGGGGTCAGGGACTTGGGTGTGTATGGAAAATAGAAACATTTATTTGCTATTAACAATAAGATCTTATTTCCTGCTTCTAAAGACATTTAGGTACTATTAAAGTTGTGGTCTACCACCCTACAGATGACAATTCAAAGTGTTTTGGGCTGAATTTTCAGGTGAAATTGATTGGCCTATTTACAAGGATAAAGAAAAGGTAGGATTATGGAAATACCAGGACTGTGCATTGACCATTTAGCCAATAGTTAATAAGTATGAGAAGACATAATGGTCATTTCATGCTTTGGTACCAAGCCTGTCAAAATATAATCAGTTTGCTAACCCACACTACTGCTGGTACTGATTAGGGGGAAAAATCCTGTAGCCTTTAAAATAATAGAGTAAATATTTTCTTAAGTGGAAGGCAAAGTAACCAAGAAGTGTTGCTTCAGTGAGCTAATTTTAATTTATGAAAGTCATGGAGGCAGAATGGTAACAATAATTAAGCTCTAGATAAATAACTGTTTCATTCAATTACTGTTTCAACAGAAGCACAAAAATCGAGGGGGAAAAGCCATTAAGGTGGCTGATTACCGAAGAAAGAACAACATATTCCTCAGAGTAAGTCTTAAAGGCTAATCTTAGGGGAAACAGAAGTAAAAAGCTATATTTGGGGAGGCATCAGCAACCTTTCCTGGAAAATAGGAACCCTGTAATATCCAGGAGAAATTATTCTCAGAATGCATTGCTTCAAGGTCCTGGAAAGCCAATTTCCTTTGAGTTATAAAAACTTCACTCTGTTCTTAGTGAGAGGCTAAAGTTCTTTGTATTCCCTCTCTAAACTTAGTTTTAAGTTGAACAAAGAATCTTATTATTTAGGAGGAAGTCCCCCTGATTTAAATTATTTTGGTCCATTAAGCCAGATAACTGGTGAAGATGTGATGAGTCAACTAAAAATAATTATTTGGTGTTAAAAAGAAACATAAGTGAAATCAACCAATCCACTAAACTACTTCCCCAAATCTGCTCTTAAATGTCATTTTTTACCATCCAAAATTGGGTGAAAATGGATTTTTTGTCCTGAATTTCATTTAAAAATAAAAGTTTTTACCACATATCTAATTTATTAGTCCTCTTCCCAAATTCTGAAATTTTATTGTTAGAAGTTCCCATTTTTAATTATAACAGATAGTTGTAATTAAGCTTTTCTTCCTATTCTTTTAAGGCAGTCAGTGAATGGTAGCCACTGAATTAATCTGAATGTGTTAGAGTTTCTACTATACAAAATCAGTGAGCCAAAGAGGCAAATCACTATAGTCATTTGATTTGGTTGATTCTTTGGGCATACATTTTCATGTTTAAGAATTTTATATAGGAATCTCATTAATACCTTTTTTTCCAATAGCTAAGAAAGAAACTGCACAGTTATAACTAGAAAAAGGTTTTTTATGTGGAGGAACTAAGTCATATACAAACTACAGAGTGCTGACTTGATTCTTTATTATTACCTTGATCACCTTAATGTACTAGATGAGATGATTTATTCTCATGTCTTCAATAACTAGCTATATACTAATGCCACTTTGATACAATTTCCTTAGGCTTAATCCTCATGAAGTCCCTTTTCTCATCTGAGCAAGACTTTGGGTTGCTACACCAGCTATATATGATAAATTTACCATTCTTCCCTTTACCTATTCTCCATGACAAGATGGTGAAACAGTCATAACTGGTCAAACACAAAGGATTGTTGCATTTTGACTAGGTTCTCCTCTCTACATTGTTTATTCGGTTGGGAAAGTCTTACTCTTTCCTTCCAATTTGCTTCATAATCTGCTGTCTCTACCTAGGACCCTGGCCAACATTTGTGAGTTCATGGCAATGTCCCTCTGTGCTCCATATTGTGAATATTGTACCTTGTCTATAATGAAGCCTGTTTCCCTGACATAGCTGTGTTTGCTGATACTTTTAGCATCATTCAGTTTTCTTCCTTAAAGTTTGACAGGGTTGACTTATCATCCCACAAACAAACTGAGACCTGAACTTGAATTCCTTCTTCTGGAAATTCTTCACAAGACTGACTCACTTTAGTAACTTCGTGAAGATGCTAAATCACAAAAATCTCCTACTTTGGATTTCTGAAGGAAAATGCCCAACTATCTTACCATATGGGAATAGCAAGATCACATTTCTACTCCCCAGGGGTGGAAAAAATACTACATAGCCATTACTTTAAAATTAGTATCCTATCCTTTTAAATATCTGGAAGTTTGGTAAAAGATTAAGCATTTAGTATAAGTGTCTGGGACTCTTGCAATTGGTAATGATATGGTATTAAATAAGATTCAACAAGAACAGGGCCTATGATTTTTACTACTCTGGAATATTGATAATGCCTGAATCTGAATGAGCTCATTCTGTGCCTGGCTGTTACAGAGTTAAAAGAAAAGCAGTAAATGAATGGCTCTTTGAAAGATCAAATGAATATGATGCTAATTCCTATATCCTATGCTATCCTACCTCTAAATCCCTCCAAGCAATTTCATTGTCAGGAACATTTTGTAAAAAGAGATGGGATACTTACATGCTCTCATTAGGAGAGATGCTATCATTTAGATAAGATCCATTGCTGTTTTCCATTTCTGCTAGCCTGATAAAAAACGTAAAAGCTCATTAAAACTTATGTGACTTCTTAGAATCTATTCAAGACCTAATCGAACATTCCTGAAAACTAAAGGATAAATCATGGCAAGAGGAGAAAGGAATCCTTCAAATTAAAGGATGTGTGTGTTGGCTTAACCATACGAAGCAGTGTGTGGTAGACCACAGCAAGTGAGTAGCTTAACATTTCTGATATAAATTCTAAGGGAAGTTGTATTTCATTGCTGTTTTATTTCCACAGGTCCATCTTCCTTTCACTGAGAACAGATTTTTATTTTCAGAAGAAAAGCTTCCCTAAGCACAAATGCACCCCATACCTTACACTACCCTTTGTCTTTCAAGACAATTAATGCCTTCCACTGATGACAGACTTATAAAGCTAGTTAATGCTTTTCACAATTGGTAAGCATGTCCAAAGTCAGAATATTGATAAAGGATGGATTCACAGTAAGGTCACTAAATGTTCTGCCACCAATTTTTACCTTTAAACCCTCCTTTACCTCAGAAAATGATAAAGTCTTTTGGCAACAACAAAAAAAAGTTAATCAAACTCTTACAGATTTCTTTAACAAGCATGAGATATTTTATAATTAGTAATTCAGGTTTTTGGTATAAAACTATGTCAAATACAAAGGAGGTGGGATAGAAAGGTCCAAGGGTTAGGAATATTAATTATTATCTTCTTTATAGTGTATTACATAAAATAAACACAAATGGAAAGCTGATGCTTTCATATTCTCCATATAACATAGTATCTTTTCTTCACAGATTAATGTCTAGTCTAGCAGTTTTCTAAGGAGGTTAGATGATTTGATTTTTAAGCCAATTTGGTAAGTGTGCTCAGTATACAAAACATAACAATGCTACCAGAAATGTTTAAAGGCCAGGGTTAGGGAAGATTGTTCTGGACCAACATTCTTGTTGGTTTCCAAAAACAACATGCAGTGGAATGGCATGCACGTTAGAGGGCAAGTTGATTAGTAGAAATTAGGCAAGATGGAAGAAGAAAAGATTTGTTTAAAATTACTATTGGTTAGCTTTCCTTGGTTAGTTACTTCAATCAATATTTGCCTGGCATTCAACTAGTCTCATACCTGCTAGCATAATGTTCAATGCGTGAATGAGTATCATCGTGTGAAAGCTGAGGGGACGAGGCAGGCCTATAAGGCAGAAAATGTGATTAGTCACAGATACCATCCATTAATGGAGAAAAAAAACCCACCACACAGTTATGTTAAATACATGGCCTAGAATGCTTTTGTTCTAATTCTACGGATAAGGATAATATACATTAAACTGTTTCTGTATCTTAGCATCAAGAATTTAAAATCCAGGTTGGAGAGATGATTTCTCATACTTCTGCTTTCTTTAAAAGCCACAAAGATCAAAAATTTTCTGGAAAGTTTGGTTACAGAAAAGATCTGGGGAGAAAATCTCTATGAAGCATTTTGTCCTCCTAAGCTTGCAGTATCTCATCTCCTATAGTTCTGAAATTGTGTTAAATCACTATGAGATTTAAATTTTTAAACACTTATGACTGAGCCATTTATTAGCTGCCTATTTACAGACTGCAAACTATAGGTTTGCCTAAAACATTTACAGTCAAGCACTTTAGTCTCAAAGAGGCTACTCCAGTCCAAGACTTCTTAATATTTCCCATAGTACTGTTCTGTAGAATTTTCTACACAAAGAATATATCTGCCAAATTAACAGCAGGAACATATTACTACTTTCTAGAACAAAACAGAATGACCCAAGATCATATTATGATGTTTTAAAAAAGAATTACTAATTCAATAGAATGTCACAATATATGAAATATTTTTATCAGCCATATTCTAAAATACAGATGAGAAACAAGAGGAAAGTTAGCATGAGTAGTCAATATAATTTTTTATAATAAAAAACTTATACCTTTTCTTAGCTCCATAGGCTAGAATTTTGGTAGGGTTAACATATATTTTTATATTTTTACTATGTGAACTATTAATTTTCCTGGAAATTTTTATATTATCTTTTGGATTAACATTAGGGGTAGGGAAACACCTGTTTTGGGCTTGTGCTTTTTGTTTTAATTGGAATAGAACAAAAGGTCTCTTCCATTTTTCTCCTGACACAGAATTCAAAAGTCAACAATAAGGTATTCAGCAAGGGCTCTTCTTGAACCTAAAGCCCAAGCAGCATTCAAGGGGCTTGGTGTGAACACTAAGAAGAATATGTTATTTTTCCTTAGGTTAAAAAACAAAAAAGAAGAAAGAAAAAGTAGCTACTTGTAACTAGATTTACATAAGAAGTGTGCCAGAAATTAAAATTTCTTAATGAAGATATATTATCACAAGATAATCACAACACACTACAGCAAATAACTAGGGAACTAGAAGACTTCCCTGAGAGATAAAAGTCTTATTTATGAAATCAATGCTGTCTAGGTCAAGTAAAAAGATGTTTCAATTTTCATGAGGAAACAAAAGGATGACTACCCAACGTAATAGGCAGATCCAAAGATTTCCATGTGAATCCTCACTATATTTTTGGAGAGTTAATCTGCTAATTTTCTAGAGTCCTGGAATAGCCCATTGTTTCAAAATGCTAAGGTTTTGAAATTTTCACTGCAGGTAAAGATAATTTAATACTTGGATTGTTTGACTTATAAGCATTATCTTCTGGAATAGATCAGTCATTCAGTTACTTATTTTTATAAGCTAAAAGGCCACCATCAATGAAAATGCATTAGTAGAATTTTCTCTTACAATAGTTTGCTACGGTAGTACTGTACAGAGGAAAGAAAATCCAAGACTTTGGAGCAAAACTATACCAAGAAAAGCAGGCATGTAAATCCAAAGCACATGAATACAGTCTTATAGAGAAAATCTTAGAGCTTTAACTCTTAGCCTGAGGGATAATTGATTCCACATTATTTTTCTTATTAATGTATGTAGCACCTATTGCAGCATGTGTATGCATAGGAACTCATCATAACCAGAAATCTTAAAAAATATACACTAAAAGAGATACGTATTAAACCAGAAAATAAGCCAAAAGGGAGTGCTGGTCAGAGAAGAATCATTTAAAAAGCAAGAATTAGTAAAAATTAAAAAAAAAACACTGAGTCCAGAAATAAAACTAAGTACATAAGCCTTGGAAAACACTTTTGAAGGACGATGATAATACTATTCCCAATTCCTGCCTCCTAAATACAAAACCATATACCAAGAAAGTTTACTTCTTGTTACCATTAATAATCCACTCAGCCAATGGCATCTTACCTATCACCATTTTCTCTTTTGTAAAACCTCCATTGATAAGTTTTCATTCATCTAGATTTCAAAGCAGAATAGCTCAAAGAACATTGTTGGACTGCCCCACTTAATGGATAAACAAAAAAGGCCTAAGCTAGATTTAGTTTAAAATAATAGGACAAATATGGGCAAACCCCAAAAGATTTGTATCTCAGGAAACTTTCTAATCTGTGATCCATATTGAATGAATTAAATACATATTGTCATCATCATAAGATCTATTAACATCAAAAAGAATTCTTACAAAATAAAACATTAGGACCTGACTCTTCTGCCTGAATAGGATAGGTTTACAATAGATTTTATACATTATTACTTATAATCCTATGAGTAAAGACTTTAATAAAATTATAGTACTAAAGAAAACACAGACTTCATTCTATTGGGCTGGTTTTCTTTCTCAAAATCAGAATTTCCCACTCTTCTGAAATAACCGAACCAACCTTTTCACAAAAAGATGAATTATGGAGGGTATGTTAATTGTTAGAAAACATGCTTTCATAAGGATGGCATTAATTTTAAAGCACTTCAAAATCAAAGAAGACAAACACACTCTACTTAAAATGTTACTTTTAACTGATTGTCCTGATGTTTTCCTCTTATTAGCTCATGTGTAGCTTCTTTTAAAGAAGTGCTTGATACTCTTTCTTATTATTTTTGCGCTACCTCTAGCCATGCATTTAAAAAAATAGTATTTCAGCATACTTATCTTTTGGATTTCTTACTTGGTTAAACTGAACTCCAACACAAGAGTAAACATGTTTACTTAGCAGGATCCAATCAAGCTCAGGACTTCAGTATATCAATTTTTAAAAAGTTTCTCATTTATGAAAGATTCTAACTTCTATAAACAGACTACCTGAGTTAAGGAAAACAATTACCAACAGGCCAGGAGCATAACTGAATCTAAATAACTTCCTAAATTGTTAAAGCTCAGGATTAAGGAAAAATCAGACAATTTGCTACTTATAGCTATTATATCTCAAAATTAAGGGGCACAGTAATACAGTTTTAAAAAAGAAAGGGAAGTCATCTACTTCATTTAGGACAATAAGGACTTAAAATAAACCTCAAGTAATCATTTGCATTTATCAATACAGGGTTTTAAAGAAAAGATCTGGCTTAAACTAATAATGTGGTGGATTAATTTTTAAAAGTCCAAAATAAATAAACTGAACTCTTAAACGAGTCCCTCTTCTAATTTGGTCATTTCCCCTATATATGTAATAAAGCTACCTGACCTTAAATGAATATTTTGATAAAACATACTGAATTACCAAATATTTGTTATAGAAACACCATAAAATAGCATTTTAAAACAGGTACACTTTGTTTGTTAATGTATAAATCACAGGCCCCCAAAAGAGTTTTCTTTCTTTCTTTTTTGAGATGGGTTCTTGCTATATTGCCCAGGCTGGTCTCAAACCCCTGGGCTCAAGCAATCCTCCCATCTCAGCCACCCCAGTAGCTGGGACTACAGGCATGAGCCACCACAGCCAGCCCCAAAAGAGATTTCCAATGTTATAACTCTGAGATAAATCAATCATCTCTCAGTATCTAATATTAGTATTATTAATACACACCAGTAGTAATAACAGATTACAGTACATTTTTCCCACTGTCAATATATAACTGTTTATGAACTGAAGGTAGTTTGGAGAGGAGAGTAAAATGACTTTAGTTTAAAATGTAGAAACCAATGTATATAAAAATTAGTCAAAAGCATAGTATATATAATGATAAAAAGTCCACACACTACACTGAAATTATTCAGCCAAACTCAACACCATACTCTAAAATTGACCCTTCTGAGTTTTAAAACCCCAGTGATGACAGGACCTAAGGAAAGAACCATAACCCTTTTGAAGGCCCTAAAGCACCAAATCTCAAGAAATAGGGCTAAAGAACACTCTTATGTAATCAGGAGGCTCTTCCTTGCTTATGGTTGAGGAAATATATAAGCATGTCTCCCAGGAATACACTAAAACTCCAATCCTTTCTCTGATTTTAATTTGAACTCAGGCCAAGATTTCAGCTATTCAGAATTTCAACCAGAGGGGGACCTGAAAACCCTACTCCAATTTTTCTGATCTATGGTAGACGGCACTCTTAGGTCTCATCAAGAGAAGAAACAAAAACCAAAATGAAAGAAAGGAAATTAATATGCCTCTAAACAAAACAGAACCAGAAAAAAATTCTTTTAAATCAAGCAAGCGAATGTGTTGGTGGTAGCAGCGCCCTTCAGCAAAAGTACTCACGCAGAATCTACTGGCCAGAAGTTGATCAGAGTAACGGGACTGCAAAACAAAAAAATGAGGTGGTGAAGAGAGACACAGGCAAAGTCAGCCACAACAAAAATTACTGAAAGGTCAAAAGAAATAAAATCCAACTAATTAAGTATGAACCATGGAAAGCAACAGCCAAATAAAGGTGGAAAGTGAATTAAAAGAAAAACAAACAGCCGAGTGACTGCCATCAGAGTTACAGGAACAGATAAGGAACAGGTTTAAAAGAGGTGACAACATCATTGGCTTGATCATGAGAATCATTACTACTTACTGTGAAGCAATTTTCGGTGACTAGATTTTCTCTCAAGCAGAAAAAAAGGGACTAGGGATGACCACACATTCAGATACAGAAAGACACACATCTACTGACTTGTGAGGGAGGAAAAATCAAAATGAAATATTGACATCACTCATTTGTAAACAGTCCCATATTTCTTAAAAACCTTGCAAGGCAATTGGTGGCTATTGTATGTTTGGTTTGTTTTTTTTTTTCCTTTCCCCTGTGAGATAAAGTTTAACTTGCGGAAATGGCAATTGTTGGGTGACATGAGAAAATAATGATTGAACATCAACTTGTTTTTTCTCTTTTCAGCTACAGTAAATCTGAAGAGAGAACAGAAGAGACTGTTTGCATTTGGGAGTGAAGGAGGGAATTTGGCTGACAGGAGCTCAGATATACATCAAATGACAGTCTGTTTTGCTTTGGCCACTACTCACGTTTCCATGTTGTCCCCCTCTAAGACAGTCTGCACTGGCAGGTAGCCCATTCGGGGATGCTTCGCAAAATACCTTTTGGTTCGAAATTTGTTTTTTAGTACCTTGGCAAAGTCACGGACATCTTCTCCTGATGTAGTCTAAAAGGGAAATCATGGTGAGATCAGATTTAGGAGAGTATGATTTCACAATAAATGACCAGTCCAATCTTTAGCTTCAAGGCTCTTGTTTTGTGGAACCAGACAAATGCAGCTTTGAAACCAGACCTGAAATTTACTAAGGAGTGGGAGTTACTCTCTGAAGCACCAATCATCTGTAAAATGGTTCAGTAATACTTTCACAAGTTATTATGAAAAATAAATGAAGTATATAAGCTATGAAGTTATTTGATGAATGATAGTTTATAAGTTTTACCACACTTTATTGTATTTAAGAAACTAGTCCATAGAAAATCATTCTTCACCCACAAAATATCAGGCATGGTACCTTCTCCATCACTGACTACCTTTGTTAAGAGAAATAATAGAAAGATAATTAAATACCTGGGAGGATCATTCTGATGATGGAAGAAAGACATGTTCTAAAGCAGATGTGTTCAAGAGCCACCTGTGGATCTTGCTAAAATGCAAGTTTTAATTTAGGACATAAAGGGATAAAGCTAGAGGATTTGCATTTCTAATAAACTCCAGATAAAGTATGGCAGACAGACCATACTTTGAATAGCATGCATCTAGAGTTCACATAAGATTTGTGTCCAACTCTGTCTGGCCATGAAGCCTCTGTCCTTGCCACTCCACAAGTGGTTTATCAAAGTTCTACTAGCTACTGAATGTTTTCCTAAAACGCAATCTTAGGAGAAGTCTCTATTTCTCACTTATAAAACTTTGGGCAAACTAACCTCAGGTGCTCAGAGTCCTTATCTGTAAAAGCGGAGTAAAACAATAATACTATGCGACACAAGGTAGCATGTAAACATTTAAAGTTTTAAGTACATAAAACATTTAAAGGATTACTTATTCCTATATCAGAGATAAAATATGAGCAACAGTGATTGAAAGCAGTAGGTTATGAATTGTGAGGAACCTGCATACCACCCCCAATACTCAACATGTCCCTTGGCCATAAGATCTCTACATATAACCTTTAGGATTCTGAAAAAGAAATGTGAAACATCTACCCTACAATCATGCCAACTATTTATTCATTCAACAATATTTACTGAACACCTATCATGTTCCATGTGTGCAAGAAAAAGGGTAATCTGAGCCACTTTAGCTGGGGAACTTATAAATCACAGCATTAAACATGATCTGCAGAATGGGATGTGGATCAGTGGTACAGTGCTTGACTGGCATGCATGAGTCCATGGGGTCAATCCCCAGCACCACAAAAACAGAACAAAACAAAACAAAAATGCACACACATATATAATCTATGATTTTATACAAAACTGAAATACAGCCAGTCTCAGTGGAACACACCTATAATCCCAGTGGCTCAGAAGGCTGAGGCAGGAGGATTATAAGTTCAAAGCCAGCTTCTGCAACTTAGTGAGACTCCAGCTCAAAATAAAAAAAAATAAAATAAAAAGGGCTAGGGACAGGGCTCAGTGGTTAAGCACCCCTGAGTTCAATCCCCAATACAAAAAAAAAAAAAAAAAAAAAAAGAAGAAAGAAAGAAAGAAAGAAAGAAAGAAAGAAAGAAAGAAAGAAAGAAAGAAAGAAAGAAAAAAACCTGAAATCGACCTCTAGTAGGGAGGCATTTGACTTACCGGAGTACAATATTCCACCATGGGGTAGTGCATTTTATGGCCTTTTGCAACTCGACCAGAAAAAAAGCAGCTTTGGCAGATGTCATAATTAAAGTGCTTTAGACTCCTGTACCTGGTTAAGAATAAAAACAAACATATGTATTTCTTCAAATCATATTCCCAAAGAACACTCTTTAATAATAAGCCTTCTACTACAGTATCTTAATTCTGAAAACAATGCAATATTCATTAGTCCCGCAAGGTAAGTGATTACTTCCTACCTCCAGGTATCTCTGGTGCCTCTCATACAGTACCAAAACATTTTGGCACAAAGATTATCCCATAAATATGTGGAAGAAGGGAAGAAAAACTCAGCTCATAATTAAACTTCTGTAGTAGCTCTTTCAGATTAAGTAGGAAAATACTGGATACCTTTTAGTCTTCTGAAGATCCAATACTCTAATTTCAAAGAACTTAGAGTATTGGATCTAGTATTGGACATAGATGCATTGTGTGTCCCCTATCCATCATGGGGACAAAAATTTCCTGAAGCAACTCTCTCCAAAAAAATTATAAAGTAATACCATAAGACAAAAGAAACAAATAAGAACTCCAATTAAAATAAGTCTTGCTTTAAATTTTCTGATTGGTTGAGGTGATTCATCATCAAATAATTATTTGGATGATAACTTTTTTTTTTTGGTATTGGGGATTGAACTCAGGGGCACTTAACCACTGAGCCACATCCCCTAGCCCTTTTTTGCATTTTATTTAGAGACAGGGTCTTCTCAGTTGCTTAGGTCCTCACTAAGTTGCTGAGGCTGGCTTTGAACTTGCAATCCTCCTGCCTCAGCTTTCTGAGCTGCTGGGATTACATGCATGTGCCACTGTGTCCAGCTGCCTATCTTTATTTATCTCTCTTTTCAGAAATCCCTCACCACATTACCCACCAACGAATGATAAGTAAAGCACCCCTTCCTCCCAAAACATAAAATTTGGATTTGATGAAAGAATGTATTTATAGTAGTAGTTGGTACATTCCCTCCATGCCCATAATACTCTATTGGTTGTTTTGCACTCTTCCTGTCTTTTGCTTTCTCAGATAAGAACCTCAGCCAATTCAAATAAACATATTCCTTATGTCACATATGGGAAAGTGGGAAGAAAAGCTACCTTTTTTAGATCTCAACCATCTTTCGAGAGGGGTGAGTGCTGATTCCTAAAATAATCTAATTTGATAAAGGCAAATGAATTGAAGGTAAAAGTGCTCCCTTAGATCCTCAGAAACATTCTCCTGTTTTATTTTATAAAAATTTCCACTGTAGCATACAAGTTCCAATCTGCTAAGGAAGCTGAGAACGAAAGGTTGAAAATGTAATGCAGTCACCTGTGGTTTCCCCTCCTCACCCCCCATGGCAGTGTTCTTACTTGCCAAAGCCAGGAAGAAAAGTGCTACCTATTCACTGTTGTCTAGCTAGGCTTTAGAAACCTTGAAAGGTTTTTGTTAGGACCTCTTTGTAAATGGCATGAAGTAGGAAAGGATAAATGCAATGAATAAAAAAAAAACCCACAAAAATGGTACAAAGTGGTTATTAGGAAATAAAGTAACAAAACAAATCTAGGCAAAACTAGAAAAGAGTATTTACTTAGCTGCTAAGTGGATTCTCAATGGGCCATAGACTATATACTTAGTTTACAACTTGGTAGTTCATTCATCACTATGGAAACCTTGATGTTGATTCAGATGTTTAAATACATATCCTTTCAGAATTAGAATTTGGGATTATTGTTAAATAAGATGCATTCATTTAAAAATATCCTGTTTCCCCAAACAGGTCAACAAGGTTAAAGATTTAAGAGTCAGTTGTTTTCCAGGACATTTTAAGAACATCAAAAGAATAACCTGCTATGTTTCCTATTTATCTCACCTTTGTAAGAAACATTTTTTTTTCTTTCTTTCTTTAGCTACTTTGTGAGTCTTTCATTCATTGGCATATTTTCTATTCCCTCAGAAGTTCATTAGGATACTGTGTGAAGAGTGTAATAGGACTCAAAGATAAAGGAACTTCTAGAATGCTTGAAACGATTCTCATTACTGAAAGGGAAAGAAAGTGCTGCCAAGTGAGTAAGAAAGAAACTGAGCTACCATAATGGTTCCTCCCCAGAATAGAATCATCTCTTAGTTTTATAACTGATTCTTGGAGAGTTTCTATAAACAGAAAAGACATGAAAAAAGAAAGAAAGGATAAAAATGTTTTGGTTCCAGGAAGGAGGAGGTACAGTTAATCTGTATGCCCTTGACAGACAAAGATCTGTGTGGAGAAAGGTACTCAGTCCTGTTTAACCAAAAATGTGGTTCTGAAGAGCTGAAGAGTGAAGGTGGAAAGGGACAACTGCCTAATGAGTCAGATCCACCAAAATAACCCAGCAATGGGAGGAGTGACAGGAGTGATTGATGTTCTGGCTTGATCACCTTCTCTACCACTTTAGAGAAGAACAAACTAACAGCAACTGGCACAGGAGATAAAAAATTGAGTCATAAAAAAGTAAGAAATGATAAGGCAGAAAAAGGCAGCTTTTGTTTGTTCCTAATACCTGAATCCAATGATGGGACACTCCTTGCAGATATTACACTTGGCCTGGTGCTTGGCAGTTTCTGCAGCAGCCACTCTGTGCAGGACGGGCAGCCACACCATGGACTGGGGTTCCAGTCTCATCCAGTCTAGGAAGAGGGCTGCTTCAATCTCTGGTTTATTATTAGCCTGCAAAGACAGGAGGGAGAAAGAGGACAAAAAGAGAAGGTGAGAAAATAAAGGACGCATATATCAGTTCAGGTAATAAGTTAAAAGAACAATAATTGCATAAGAAGGGCCTCTTTTCACAGCTTGTTTCTACAAATGTCCCTCTAACATCCACAAAAGCCACCTATCCCTCAGGTGTTAGTAAACTACCATCACTCTTTCTGGCTACCAGATGACAAGGAAATCAAAGGAAACCAACACACAGGAAGAGTACCGCAAAATACACACCCGAGTGAGTCAATGTTTACTCTCCCATTTTTGAACAGATATATCTATATCTATCTATCTATCTATCTATATACATATCTATATATATCTATATATATCTATCTATTTAGGCTATATATGTTATATATATATAACATATATAGCCTAAAGAAAAATGCAAGTGTTTATTGATAAAATTTCAAAGGAGGGGAAAGAAAAACAACAACTCAGAACTATTGATTTTTTTTTTTTCCTAGAGGATCCACTTCTCAGAGAATCATAATGAGGGGCTTTAAAATTTCATCAGGTTCCAAAGCCTCATATTTTACAGACAAGAAAACAGAGATATAGATCAGAGAACTCACTTTTCAAAGGCTCTCCAACTAACTGGTGGCAAAGCTGATACCAGAATCAGAACCTCCTGGCCTGATTAGAATACTACTTGGCATGGTACAATTCCCATGGTGTCCTATTGTTTGTCTATTTCTTTCTTTTAAAGCCTAAATATAATAAATACCATTCATCCAGAACACTTCAAAATACATTTATCAATCATTGGACTTACACATTATTGTAGGAATTTATTTTAATTGTACTTTAATTATATTTTTAAACCCCACAAAATTATCTTAATTCTTTAAATTGTTAGATGTTAGATAATATTAGTTACTTTTTTTCCTGCTTTAACCTCAAATCTTCCCTCTGAGATCAGTTTGTCCCAAGTATATCCTTAGGTTAGATATCTAATTAATGATGAATTTCCCAAGTCTTGGATATCTTAAAATACCCCGCTTTTTCTGAAATCCATATTCTTGATACTATCAAGAATCACTGGGTATAGAATTCTTAACTGAAAGACTTAGGGGTTTTGTTTGTTACTATTTTAGTATAAGGAAATATTAGTCCACTTGCATCTTATCAGTAGTAGAGCTGATTGATAGTTGCTTCTTTGAAGGTAATCTATCCTTTTCCTGTGTTGTGTTTCTATGGTTTTATTTTTGCTGGTTTAAGATTCACTGGGCTTCATAAACATGTGCTCAGAGTCTTAATCAGCTCTGGAATCTTCTCAGTCATGATCTCAACAAACAGTGCCTCTTCTCTGTTCCTACTCTATTCTGCTTAAAGGATTGGATAAATGTTCGACTTTCTCAATCTCCATTTTTCTGAACAGGACTTCCCTAGCTTTTCCCTTTTTGTAATCCTTCTTTGCTTTCATTCCTAAGAATTCCTTCTATCCAGTTGTCTGATTGAATATTCATTTCTCTCCTCGACTGCATCAAATCTGCTTAAACAGTTTAAAATTTTAGATACTATATTTCTTTTTCTTCTCTATTTTTTGAGGTGTTACAGATGGAACCCAGGGCTTTGCACATGCTGGTGTTGGGCAAGTGCCCTACTACTGAATCACATTCCCAACCCTCTATTTGGTCAGGTTTTATTTTTTTTCTTTTCTTTTTCTTTTTAGCGGGGAACAGTAAGAGTACTGGTGATTGAACCCCCCCAGTTTTAATTTTTTTTTAAATTTTGAGACAGGGTCTCACTAAGTTGCTTAGGGCCTCAATAAGTTTCTGAAGCTGGCTTTGAACTTGCAATCCTCCTGCCTCGGTTTCCCCAGTTGCTAGGATTATAGGCATGCACCACTGCATTGGGCTTTATTTTGTCATTTTAAAAATATTTTTAAAGTGTTTAAATTGTTGATGGACCTTTACTTTATTTATTAATTAATTTATATGTGGTGCTGAGAATTGAGTCCAGTGCCTCACACATGCTAGGTAAGCACTTTACCACTGAGTCACAACCCCAGCCCTATTTTGTCATTTTTTAAAAATTTTTTTTAGTTATAGATGGACACAGTACCTTTATTTTATTTGTTTATTTATTTTTTCATGGTGCCAGGGATGGAACCCAGTGCCGCAAACATGCTAGGCAAGCATTCTACCAGTGAACCAAAACCCCAGCCCCTACTTTGTCATTTTTAAGGTCATTCCCAAGGTTGTACTTTCCTGCCAATATTTTTTCAATATTGTCTTTCATTTTTCTAACAGCATAAAGAGTTTTTGAAAAATAATCTAATAATTCTCAAATATTAATTTATTATGGGTCTGCTTCGGCAGTCTGCTGTTTCTGCTGTTGCCACTCACCTTAATTTCTTATGTATTTAACTGCTTATTTTTTTCCCTGTGTACTACAGTGACCTTAAAAATATTTTCTGTAGATACTCTGAACCCTGGAATGGAAATAAATACTTTCTCCATAGACAATTTTTCATTTGCTTTTGCCAAGAACTGAGGGCAGTGCTTATTCCAAAACCAATTTAAACTGAATATATGACATGGCATCCTTGGTATCATATAAGTAATGAGTATTGGAACTGAAAAAAACAAGTTGCTTCTCTTGGAATGTGGCTTGTTAATAAAGGATCTATCCACATCTCACACAGAAAGGCAGGAAGGAGAGTTTAGACTGACAACACTGACCACTTCACCAGCAGTCCAGTCATTACCCTTAATTAGAAATTTAATAACATTCTAATGAGATGTTTAACCTTGGATTTCCTAACTGCAAAATGGTATCAATTCAAACTAGTGATCAAAAGCATCTGTTGAGCACTTTTCTATGAGTAGAGTACCATCACAGAGATACTTTGTAGAAAAATGTTTTTTAAAAAAGAATTATACAGCCAGGAATGGTGGCACACACCTGTAATCCCAGCAATCAGGGAGACTGAGACAGGAGGATTGCTAGTTCAAAGCCAGCCTCAGCAACAACAAGGCGCTAAGTAACTCAGTGAGACCCTGTCTCCAAATAAAATACAAAATAGGGCTGGGGATGTGGCTCAGTGGTTGAGTGCCTCTGAGTTCAATTCCTTGCATGCCCCCCCCAAAAAGGAATTATACAAAATATAAAGATGAAAGGGTGCAAGTCAATTCCTTCTTTTGGAATGGTGCTGCAGAGCTTTGAGGTCTCTAGCATTCATCTAAACTCTTCCCAATGCCAGTGTATTCCTACAGCCACTATGTAAATACCACCCAGGTGAGAGAGCATATGTCCTTCAAGGGTAATCTTGAATATCTGTAAGGGATCCCTGTCCAAAGTTCTTTATCCTGCAATGAAATGGAATGATAGGAACAGAAGATTCATAATCAAATCACTAGAGTTCAAGCCCCAGCTTTGCCATTCACTGGTTCTGTGACCTTGGTAAGATAACTTTCTCAGTCTTAATTTCTCTCTATTATGAAATGGAAATATTAATAGTGCCTACCTCATAGGGATGTTTTAAGATGAATGAGTTAACAAATGAAAGGCACTTGGAAGAGTGTCCAGCACATAGAAAGAATCATGCCTGCTATGATCATCATCATTATTATTACCCATCTGATCAGAAACTCAGAAGTTCTCAGCCTTCATGCGGTCCTTTAAATATTTTACCATAGCTGTCATATCTGTCCATGCCTCTTCATCTCTATTCCTTTCATTTCTGCCTTATATGACATGGCTCAGTTTGCCATTGTCCTTTAGAAAACTATTCTCGAAATACGATCTGCTGGGAATGGTACCTCCATTTCTCTGGACACAATAATGGATTACATTTATTTGTTCTGGTCTATAGGTTCACATAAGGTTTCTGTTCAACTAAGATCTCTGGGTCAATGTTGCCTAGTACATCCAGCAGATCAATCATCCAGCAAAATGCTTCATGAAAAGAAGGTCAAATTAATTAAGGAAACATTGCACATTATATCTGCCTCTTAAAATTCTTAATGCATGTTAACATATTAAAAGCTAAGAAGGTCGTCAGTGAAAAAACACGTTAAACTTTGTTTGACCTCAGAATTTCCCCACTTATTATTCAATGATCCTAAGACCTTTATCTTTTTTTAACTGATAAGGTCTATGAACATCAAAAGGTATTAGGGCCCTGCTGGGCATTATGGGAAATGCTGTTTGGGGCTGTTTCTGGCTGTTTTCGACAATTCCTCCCCTCTGTGCTTGTTCATTTGGGATTTGTTTCCTTTCACTTCTGTCAAGGACTTTCCTCTTAGTCTGAGCCCAATGTAAAATCTCATCAGTATCTTTGAGAATCCTAACTCTTTTAGCCAAGGAATTAGCCATTATTCCCAACTTTGACTCATTTTTCCATTTGAAAATAAGTTAAGTTTTTGTATCAAACAATCCTGGTGAAAATATCTTACAGGCCAAGGACAAACATGAGCTGCATCGCTATAGCCTACACCAGATCAACAACATGATTCTGTCCTCTCTGACAGCTGAACTGTGACTCTTCCAGTAATATTATCTAGTCTTTGTTGCACAAATTTCTCCATCCTGTAGACAAAGACAGAGTGAAAGACTTTGTCAAAAGAATTGCAAGTGCTCAGCTACAATATGTCCTATAACAATCTCCTGCTCCACTGGTCTAACAAAATAACCCTTTCTAGCCAGCCAGGAGACAAACCATTTTAGAAAGGCAGTAAATTGAAAAGCATTACTAATTCATGCCTATTTAAAATATGAGTTTATTGGCACTTAATCAGAATGTATATTTTTTTCTGACTTATGTTTAAAGGGTAGATTGTTTAATGATGCATTCAATGACATGCCACAGGGCAAAAATTCATACTTAACACAGAAAGTGTAAAAATATCACAACATTTCTTTTTATTTAAAAAGACAGGGAGAAAACTGAGCACGAGTCAGCAGCAAACATAGGTATAAAAATAAAAGAGAGGTTGGGGTGGAGCTCAGTGGTAGAG